TTCCCTCTCCCTACTCCAACAATTCTCTTGACCTTTTCATATTATACTTGGGCAAAGAAAACAATCTGATATCTAATCTCATCTAGGTATTACTTACTGATGTGGATCTTTTATTCATTTTTATTTTCACATTAACCAAAATTTTCCTCTCTTTCAAATATTCCAAACCCCTAACCGGTACCCTCACTGCCAGTTGAAAACCTCATCCTCTACCTCACTGGAAAATTATGATCACTTAATTTCAGCTTCTCTACCCTATATTTCAAAGTACGTATCATATTTACTCATCTTCTCCTTTCCTCTTCTCTCAGGAAAACTGATACATTTTGTATAGGACTAATTCTCATGTCTGTGATCCTGATCTTACTGGAAGTTGCTCCATCAATTTATTCCCAGCCCTTAAGTGTGTTTCAGCTCTTTCTCACCACTGGCCTTTCTTTTAAGCTACAAATCTCTATCCTAAAAATACCTTCCTGTGATTCTGGCTGTCCCTATAGTCATAGACGTCATTCCATAGGTCTCCTTACCTCGTCTCCTAAAATCTCAGAACAGTAGTGTTTCTTCTGGTTCCTCACACATTACTTACTTCTTAACCACTTGGAGTGCATCTCAGTGATTACAGTGATGACTCCTTATGTCCAAAAATCTCTTCCCTGTTTCCACCTTACTCCACATTTCTGTAGCATTTCGCTCTTGACTCCACTTGTTTCTCCTAGCTATTTCCTCCCATAATACCCCATGATCCTCTATTCTCTTCTCCTTGATACTCCATATTTTTCCTATTTTCCTTTGCTCTACCAGCCCTTCAATAACAGAGAATACTTGAATTCTCTTCAAATTTCAGCTTGGTTTCTTATCTTGGTTTATAACATGGCTAACTGTTCAATCATCTAGGCTTAGTCTATTCATTCATTTCCCTGATTTCTCACATTTCTCATGTTTTAATGACAAGTTTGTCTTTCGTTGCCTAAGAGACCCAGCACCATCTCCTTAGTCGAGGTCATCATAATGTCTGCCTTAAATTACTATAATAAAATGATGTGACAACATCTTCACTAGGTTACCTGAAATATTGCCATAAAGACATAAAATCCAAGAATTTCATGATCGTTCCTTCTTTTAAATCTCTAATATCTTCCCCTAATTCCAGTTAATTATGTCACTCTACATAATCGAAAATCGAAGACATTTATGATCAGACTCCATCAAACCTCTGCAATAGTAACTTATACTCTAAATCCTCTTTGTTTTTTTTAGTGTCCTCAAGGGGATTCCAATTCCTATCAATCCTAGGAGAACCTGCCCAATCATTTTAGGTCATCCTTTCACCTCCCAGTGCTATATCAGACAAGGCTGCTGCTATTCATAGGGTTTTCACGGCCAAGTTTTTGGAAGTGGGTGGCCAGATCCTTCTTCCTAGTCTGTCTTATTCTAGAAGCTCTGCTGAAATCTTTCTACCATGAGTGACCCTCCTGGTATTTGAGATACCAGTGGCATAGCTTTCAGCATCACAGCAACATGCAGACACCACTGTACGGCCAGCAACAGAAGGGTGGTGTGGTTCCCTCACCAGGAAACAAACACGGGTTGTGGCAGTGAGAGTGTTGAAACTTAACCACTAAACCACTAGGGCTGGCTCTATATCCTCTATGTATCCTAAAATACAGAACCCATAAAGCTTGGTATTTTGCTCTTCAAGCTCCTGTATTTCTTTCAGCCAAAATGCTTCATTCCCATTTAATCTTCTTTCAAAATTCTACTCATTCTTTTGAGATTCAACTAAAATACTAGCTCCTTAATTACTGGCTGATTCTGCCCACACTCAGCACCAATGCCCCATTCCTCTAATCTGGGCATAATTAAATTCTGCACTTGTAAGCCCAAATGCTACATTGATAGCTAAATTTTATAACAAACTCTGAAGGAGTTAAAATATGAGCACTGCATATAATCAAATAGATCAAATATGTAGTCAGACAGATCTGGTTTTCAATATTGTTTTTCCATTAACAAACAATATGATTTTGAGTAAGTTACATGACCTTTTGGTGTCTCAATTTATTCAAATGAAATCTGGAGAAAAGAGGTACCTCATGACATTTTTGTGAAGATTATACAAGACAATGTCTGTAAAGTGCACAGTGCCTGGCATCGGGTTGTTACTAAATTTTTTAAAAAGCTATTATAATTATTATGCCTTAAATAGAAAAGCTAATCAATATTTATCAGGTAAATAATACTCCATGACATTCTGCAAAACTTTTATAACATATTTACTAAGGATTTTGCCTCTAAAAGCCTTCCAAATTACTTTTCTGAGACGTTCCATTACAGGAAGGTTTATTATTCTTGTTTACAAAATATTGGTTTGAAGTGAATGATTTATTTTTCTCAAATCAAGTGGCCCTGAGAGCTAAGCAGTTTGCCTTACATGACTAAGCTATCATCATGGTCTTGCTATCTTGTCAGCTTCTCTACTGCAGCGTGAAACACTAATAATTGCTCAGGTTAGTATGAAATTGTGTCCTTTGTGAAGGCCCCATGTATCTCTGGTGCTCATATAGAATTCCCCCACAACTGAGGTGCTGAAGACCCACCTAATGCTAAAGAGACCTAATGGTGTCCACAATAACTTGGGGACTGGGCTAGAGTCTCGCTAGCCTTTGGTCATTGTCTTTAGTTATTAGACAATTTCATTTCCTGGACAAATTTCCTTTATTAGCTGTGAATTGCTCCCTTGTTAAATTGTTCTCCAGAACTTCTGGTGACAAATAATAGATAGAAATCGTTTTCTAATTAGGTGGACTTCTTGGAATTCAAACTCACTATTGATTTTATTTCAAACCACAAAATTAGCATGCATTAAATATAGTATATAAACAGCCGCAAAAGCAGATAGACCATCATCCACTTATCTCCTCCTTCGCTTCTTGTTCTCCACCGTGGAAAAAGGTAAGAATTTCAGATATAAAGTTGATATATCCCACCTTCACTTTTATTTCCAACTAAGTTGAGATATATGAAGAAAATAATTGCTTAAAATATAGTCTTTGAAATAAGGGTATTTAAAATAGTGTTGGCACTATTTTCAACACATAGGTTAAGAAAAGTAGAAGTACCTATAGATTGGTAAAAATTGCAATGACTGTATAAGATTTATGAGTCTAAGAAAATGTAGTAACAGTGATTACTATTTTTATAGTACAGGACTAGTTAACAGGCTATATTAAAAGATCTCTTCCCTGAAAATCTCTTCCAATTTGATTAAACTTACCACGGCCATAAAAGCAAATATATTTAAATCATTGTTTGGAGATATGAATAATTACTGGGAAAACTTTATCCAATAGGTAGTCTATAGATGGAGCATATTGAGTCAAGAAATAGAAGGAGTTGTTTGGGAATATGCACTACTTGAAATGTTTATAAACGATATTTTTAGAAGAAGAGTGTATTCCTCAAGCTAGATTAGAACATCCACCTTCCCACTTTATCATTTAGTTTATAATATTTCAAAATAATATTAAAATAGATACATGAAATATAGAATTAAGTTAAAAAGAAACAAAGTGTTTTACTCTGTAAGAAAATTCTAGATGGTACGGAGATGACTTGGAAAAAAGAAAGGAAGGAGAAGATTTGAAAGAAAGAGTACCTTAGAATATAATAGTTAATAATGATGTTCTGGTTTAAAAATTGGTATATAAAATACTAATTATAAAATAGAGAAAATGCAATGGGATCCTCCTTACATGTAATGATCTATAATAGACTACTATATTCTTTTTTTGAGTCCTGACAATAAAAAATTATTTGGAAACTTATGGAGGTCTTATGCAAAGTAAAATTAATAAAGAATTATATAGCGCCCATGAGAAAAATCCAGAAAAAAATTTTTTCTCTAATAAAGAGCCTTCTAATATTGGAAAGGAAATTTTGCTGATGAATTAGGGACTTTTTTAATAAAATGTTTTTATTTCAGAAATTTAGTTTAAAAAATTGAGATTGAAGATTATATGTCAAGGGATATTGGTGGCACAAAAATCATTTTTTACAAGAAATTATAGAAATGCAACAAAATCAAGCATTTAATACATTTTGGTCAAAAGTATTAACATATATTTTATGTTATGCTACAAGAAGGAGTAGCCTGGAGTGGGGATTGGGTAAGAGGATCTGACCCTTTGGTAAATCATCAAGAGATCAGAGAGAAAAAAAGAAGCATAGTTCATGATCTCTAAAGTTATGTGGCACAAAGAAGAAGAGACATCACTATGTGTGTGGGGATGAGACTGAGTAGTGGGTATAAATGGAGAAGAAGCAAACCAATCGGTCCAAGAAAGCATCTGGATAAGTGGAGTAAATAAGGGAAATGGTCAAATGAAAATCTCAGTCTTATTGGAAATAAGGACATATGATTAAACCAAATATTCACAGAAACCGTTTAGTTTAGTAAAGCAAAGATAAAAATAAAATATGATCGTCTTCTTTGTGTGAACCTTATTTGGTCAGTTTCCTCCCAAAAGAACTGAGGCTTTATCAGGGCTGAGACCTTAATTGTTCCACTGCTGTAATCCTACCACTTAGACAGTGCCTGGCAATAAAAGATGGTAAAAAATATTTTAGACATAGGAATCAATTAATAAACTTTCTGTAAATATTTATAACTCTTTTCTGTCTTTCAAAAAAAAAAATCCCATAATACTGTGAATGAGATGAAAAGAGGGTAGAATAGAGCCGATACCTGAGAAAATCTGAATGGTTGACAAAAAAGTACGAAATTGATATGTAAGGGCAAGGAGCCATAGTAGATTCTGAACTTGTTTGCATGATAAAACTCCTATTAGTATTTTTTTTCTAAAACACAGACATTTTTACTATACATTATTTTTGGTTTCTTTAAAAGGAAAGTGAAGTGACCCTAGCTAACCAAAAAAATATATTAGATTGACCAATATGTTACCATTCCCTCATTTCCTCATTCACAGGACTTGATAGCCATGAAGATCCTCATCCTTGCCTGCCTGGTGGCTCTTGCTCTTGCACGGGAGGTAAGAAAATCTCTATATAATTAAGATATAGTGAACTATCTGCCTACGTGTAGAGAATAACATCACCAATATTTTAAATGTACAAATAAAGCAGAATTTCAAGAGATGTTTTTCTGATTTCTAAGAAAATCATTTACATTTACCCACTACTTCAACAGTGCATTGTAGGGCTACAAATTTGGGTCAAATGCTCTCTACGCCACTGTGCCACGAGTCCCTAAAGGAAAAGCAAACAAACCAATAAGCAACAGACAAAACAAGAAGAAACAATTATGAAAACCACAAAAAAGAGTAATATTCCACAAATACAATTGCATGCACGTGCAAGCTAGATAAATATATCTTATTCTAGTGATGAAATATACATACCCTAGGGCAGTGAGCCAAATCCTACCTGTGTCTATCCAAAGACATACAGAAGGTGGAGTATCATGCAGTAATCCTAATGATAAACATATTCATAATCCTAATAAAAAGTGTTTAATACAAACTAAAATAACTTCTTTTCTGTTACCTATCAAAAACTTTTCTTCATTCAGGTAAAATAAAAATATGCCAATCAAAACTTACTAAATATAAACACCATAAAAACAATTACCTTTCAAATCTCTCAAAAGACATAACATTTTTTCTCAAGTTTGTGAAAGAGATAGCTCCACATAAAGAAAGTAAAAATCAAATAGGAAAAATGTTCAATAATGAGTTAGCTATAGAAACTAAAATGGTGTTTTTTTTCTTTACAGAAGGAAGAAATTAATGTATCCAATGAGGTAAGATATTTTTATTCAGAGAAAATTTTCCAACCATAAAATAGTAACATTCTTTGGTGATCTAGGAGAAGGTGGTTGTTGATTTTTTGGTTTTTGTTTTTCCTTTACAGACTGTAGAACGCCTTTCAAACAATGAACTAGATTCAAGCCGTGAGGTAAGACAACATTTATTCAGAGGCAATCTCCCAATTTTGGAAGAGTAAATGCTGTGCTATCTTTCTATTGTGTTACATTAGGGCAGTTAAGCCAATGCAGCTATGTTCTGACATAAATTCTGATGTAAACTTCCATTATATATATTTAAGGACAGAATAAATGTCTGGAAGATTCAGTATTCTAGCACTTTCTAAGTTGGCTTGCTACTTGAAATTGTGTCACTGTGCTCTCTTTTTTTTAATGGGGAAGATTAGGTGTGAGCCAACATCCGTCCCAATCTTCCTCTATTTTGTATGTGGGACACCATCACAGCATGGCTTGATGAACAGTGTGTAGGTCTGCATCCGGGATCCGAACCTGAGAACACTGGGTGGCCGAAACGAAGCCCATGAACTTAACCACTAAGCCATCGGGCCAGCCCCTGCCCTCTTTTTTTAAAATGAACTGTACAGTGCTGTTTTCTGTCTCCAGCTCTCTCTGCGCTGACATCATTCACTGTTTTGACATTTACTGAGTGTCTTTTGTGCATCAGACATTGAGTAGGAGATGTGGTGCAAACTGAAAAGAGAGATGCCCATAGTATAGAGCTCGCAATGTAGTGGGAGGGCAGACATGCAAATGGATACATTTTGTAATTACAATAGTTATTTTGGTAAATAAGAGGCAGTGAAACTTAGTGTCATCCTAAATCTGCCCGGGAGAGTCAGGTAGTTATTTACCCTTGCATCATTCTCTTTGGGTCTGTCATCACCTGTTAGTTAAATGGTACATTATTATACTTTGTCTCTTCACAAAGGTAATCAGATTCTTAGGAGATGTATTTATTTCTTATAATTCATTTGAAGCCTAAATACAACAAGTAAATTAAGAATGATTAACAGAATGGATCAATGGCTATTACAATGTATTATCAATGAATACTGTTCTTTTAGAATCTGATGAGATATTAGAGACCATTTGTTGTCATAGGAAGAGAGCATCTATTAAATGCCTCTTTTTGTATTACGTTTACTAATTGTCTTCTCTCTCTTGACTGCATTCATCTGTCTTTTTTTTTTATACAATGGGCTTATACAGAACACGTTTCAGCAATTATCCTGAGTTTTTAATATTATCAAACAAGGTGTCCACGTTAACCTATTAAATGCCTTCATTTTCTGATTTATATTGACAAATAAGAATTGTTCATTAAAACTAAACCTAATTTTATTTTTATTTTTCTGAAGGAATCAACTAAACACATCAACAAGGTAAAACCCTCATATTAAAAGTACATATTTTCAAAGTTTCCTATATTTAATTTTTACAGATGGTAACATTTCTTTATATGTGATTTGTTCTTTAGCAGAAACTTCAGAAGTTTAAACATGAAGAACAACAGCAAAGAGAGGTAATTTGTTCATGATGAGTACATTTCTAAAATTATTATGAAATATAACACATATAAATCTATGTATATGTTCAGTCTGAAGAATGGTAAAGACATAAATGACAATATAAGAAATGAAACATTGACAAAGTCAATATATTTTTAAGATGTAAATGCATTATTTAAACTCATTATCAACTTCCAGAATACAGAATAAACATCTAACAATAGCTGTTGATTTACTCATTTTACCAATGGTATACCTGTTTTCAATAAACATTAATAGAGACAATTCTAAGTTGTGAACTAGGCTCCTCTTATTCTCAAGATGTATATGCTGATGAAAGACGGTAGAAAGGCATATGGCATAAATCCCACTTTGATCATTTATCAGCTGTATAACATTGGCCCAAGTCTTTCTGTAATTCAATTTCTTCATCTGTAAATTGAGACCATTCATAACCCCCGTAGGGTTAATAAGCTCACACACAATGAATATTGAATGATTTCACATTAACATTTTGTAGGATTTATATTAACATTTGTGAATACATGAATTTCCTAAAAGTATTTTCATTACAAAGATGAGAGAAATGAGGTACAAAACAATTGAATGTACAATTGTGTGACAATATCACAGTTATTAAGTAGTAGAGCTTGTTTAAAAATAAGGATTTTTCTTGGACAACATAAAATTGTTTATTTAGTGAAATTACACTTGTGATAAAACATTTATCTAATTGTAATATTTCGGCTTCTCTGTTTTATCAATGGAGTTGAATTGTTTGGTACCTAGACCAAATATTTTCTAAATCAAAAAGAATTTGCAAATTGATACCTCTTAAAAGACTCTAGATAACTACCTCTTCCAAGGGAAGTAGTACTAGAAGTTGGTCAGTGTTAAGTAACTCCTTGAATTAAACCACAAATTAAGACTTATTTTTCATTAAAACAGAAATGAATCTTGGAGTTACCCCTCTAAGTCTTTTTAAATAGATCTCCCTTCATTATAGGAAAATAATTTGGGCTGTTATCAACACATTATGTTGAAAAGTCCATCTATGCCTTCTAGAAGACCAAAGTATATAGTTACAGCTATCCAGGCAACTCAGGAAAAGGTGTAACAAGTCTTGAAATCCCTGAACGTTGATTTCAGTTTGGTCTGTAGATTCACCCACAAAGGGAGTGGGTTAATGAGAAATCCTCAAATGCTCAATAAGCATTTTACTCAGTAGTCTTCACATGACCCAAAATAATTCCTTAACCAAGATAAGTGAAAGATTTTCTTTCTCTCTTTTTACTCAGTTATGATTGTTCAGAAGAGAGGAGGTTAATTCATCATGAATGATAATTATAGCTAAAGCATGGACTCAAAGATTATTTTTAATTCTTTCAGGTTGAACTCCAGGATAAAATCGATCACTTTGTCCAGCAACAGCCTGTAGTCTATCCTTATACTGAGCCACTCTCTTACGCTATCCTTCCACAAAACATCCTGCCACTTGCTCAGCCTCCTGTAGCGCTGCCTTTCCTTCAGCCTGAAAAAATGGAAGTCCTCCAAACTAAGGAGACCATCTTTCCTAAACTCAAAGTGATGCCCTCCCTTAAATCTCCAGTAGTGCCCTTTTCTGAACGCCAAATCTTGAATCCCACTTATAGCGAAAATCTTCGCGTTCCCCTGCATCTGATCCAGCCATTGATGCATCAGGTCCCTCAGTCTCTTCTTCAGACGCCAATGCTTCTTTCTCAACCTGAGCTGTCCCCTCCTCAGTCCGAAGTCCCACCTTTCCCCCAGCAAGTGGTGCCCTACTCTCAGAGAGATACACCTGTCGAAGCCTTTCTGCTGTACCAGGAGCCTCTACGTGGCCGTACCGGCGAGTTCTACCCTGTGCCTCAACCAATTGCCCCAGTTTACAACGCCGTTATTGTAAGTCCAAATTTACTAACTTTGCTGTTTCATGCATTATGTGTATATGATGTTAGAATAAGCAAGTGAGAGCTCTAGGTGAAAGAACAAATGAATAGTGAATAGATCCAAAATGCACATAGTTTAGATCAGTGATTCTCAACAAGTAGCTACGCAATAGAATAACGTGGAGAACTTTTTTTTCCCCCAAATCCGAATGTCAAAGTCTACCCACAGAGATTCTGATATAATTGTTCTGATTTTCTATGTAGAAGGAATTGAGTATCAGGAAGAAATGATTTCTGGAATTCTGATTTAATAGGTTTGTTGAGAATTTAGATAAAGAGGATTAAGGCTTACTAAAACCAGAATTAAATTTGATAATCTGATTGGGCTTGGGATAAAGAAGTTTTATTATTATCTACAGTTTTGAAGTTTTCCTTGTGCACGTCTATTCCCTGCATGCCTTATTTCACATCTTGTTTTTGACAAAAGTACGTATAAGGGCAAACGATTGAGATGCTTATTTCATTACTCATAGAATTCTTAGGGAAAGTGTTCTTGACAAAAAGTGAATGGTGTATTTATTTATTTTGTATTTTTTTTTATTTTTAAGGTCTAAGAGGATTTCAAATCAAATGTTTTGTCCTCACCTTTGGTAAGCTTTAGGAATTGAGACACTGGACTGATTGTTTTTATGATTAATAACTTTTTACATTTCATTCTCTTGGATAAACCCAATGCAAATTCCATCAATATACCATCCTATTAATTATCAATGTGCCATGGACATCTCGATGGTTGATTATTATTTATTGAACTGAAATTATGTATCTTTTGGATTTCAAATAATTTTAAATTTTAATTATATGTTATTGACAGATTTCATTGGTTTGCTTTCAAGTGCCTATATCCCTATGCTTGAGTAGCCTCATTTTTAGGAAAAACAGAAAATAGTTTCCTCTACATTTGTGTAATTATGTTTGCACTTTTTTTAAAGATCGACTTGCATTCTCACTTCTAACTTAGGCTTTATAAACTTTGTTTTCATCTCATTTAAAATTTACGTATTGTCTTTTAATTCGTGAGTCAAAATAAAAGTAATTAGTTCACATGTGAGAGTTAAAAAGGGGAGAGAATATAGCTTTGGGATTCTTAAGATACAAATCCTCCTGTGATCAGAATAGACTAGACGTTTCACCAAAACAATTCTCTGTGTGCTGATATTTAGTCCTAGAGGAACCTTTATATGCCTCCAATGTAGGGCATGGCATGGTGCATTTGTAATAAAATTTCTCCAGTGAATTAGTCACACCAAAATTACAAACAAGGAGAGATAAATAGTTATAGCATATAACAACTAATTCTGTATTTGTTCTCTATCCCACAGAATTGACTGTGACTGGAAATGTGGCATCTTTTCAATCTGTATCACTCACCAAAAGTTAATTTTTAAATTAATCTACATGGAAAAATGAAAATTTATTCCTTTGTTTATTTTATGTGTTATATGGCATTCGTCTTAATTTGAATTTGACTCATAAACTCAACCTTTTTCAAATTGTAATTCAACTAATACCACAGAATTTCAATTTTGAGTTGGAAGTACTATAAACATAACAAAAATGTGTATAAAAATAATTTCTGGAATTGTGCTTATTATTTTTTTAAAAATCTATTTCCTAACCAGTCATTTCAATAAATTAATCCTTTAAGCATATTTAAGTTTTCCTGTCTTTATTATAATTTTTCAAACCTAATTGGCCTCTTTACTGTCAATTTAAGATTATTGTGTTAAAAATGGTCATGGAAAAATTGAAATTGAATAGAATGCTTTGAATTGAATATGAAAGGATATCAAAAAGTGGGGGGAAAGATAGAGTGATCATACACTGTGTTTGCTCTAGAAAGTCTTGGTTTACACCTGTTGTCCCAATTAAACTCTTACACCTGTGCCTTTGTCGCTCAAAAGTACCCAGCAATGGATGCTAAATTTTATGGTTGCCCTAGGAAAAAAAGCTTCAAATGTGAAATCTGATTCACAGCTCTGCAACATGGTAGCTAAGCAGTGCTGTGAAAGTTACTCAGTCTTTCAGAGCTTCAATTTCCACATCTATAGTCAATTCAAAGAGATTTACGGACGTTTTAATGTGATGAGTGCACTGCATAGTACATGATAAGTGTTCTCTCCTGTTCCACTTTGTTGACTCCACTTGCACGTGGGCAGCAGTAGCCAGTATCACAATCAGAATGAGCTGGGTTACCTGGTTTTAGACTGTAATGCCCAAGAATGTAAGACTTACATGAAGCTCTGATATCTATTGTCTCTGACTGTGGAGTAATTGTTTCATTGTGTTTTGTTGTCCCTCTACCAACTCCTACACTTGTACACTTGATTCTAGCCCCCTGAGTTTACACAATGACTGATTTTTAGCAATTATTTTGTCTTTCCTGCATCCTCAATGTTTTCTTCACCTCAGGATCATGTGCAAGCCAAATTTATGCTATAATATCGCCCATAATTAAAGAAAAAATTCCATCCTTAATAGTGTACCTCCAAACTCCACCCAATTCTTTAGATTACTCTATGGAAACTATAATAGAACAAGTATCCATACTGCTGTTTACATTATCTCATATGTTAGTCTCTCATTAACTTGCTTCCTTCAAGCTTTTGTCCCTATGGAAACCACGTGTTTTCAGGGTTACCAACAACTTTCATCTTGCTAATCTGTATTCATTTGACCCAACCTCTCAGTGCTATTTGGTAGAGTTGATCATCTCTTCTTTTTTGAAATGTCATACTTCTCCTCATTTGAAATCCTAAACTTGTTAAATCCTTGGTTTCTCTCCTAACTCACTAGCCACTTCTTTGTAGTCTCTCTTCTGGCATTTCCTTTTCTAAACCTTTAAGGATTGGAGTACCCTAGGGGTTAGCCTTACTCTGGCTGATATTGTTTAGTTCTATGGCTTTAAGTCCATCCATAGGCTAAGAGCTTCTAAATGTATGTCTCCAAACTTACTTCTTTCCGGGACTCCAAACTCAGGTACTCAACTTCTTTTCTTGGTCTCCATTCCTGAGTATCTAATTACTAACTCAAACCTGGCACGGTCAAGTATAACTCTTCATTGGGATCTGGTATCTGACTTGCTAAAATTTAATTAGGCGTATTTCAATAAGAAAGACAACTGATAAAATAGTATGTAGGCAATAAACTTACTTGAATAGGCACTTCACGGAAAGAGAATATCTTAACGGCCAATAAACATATGAAAATGTGCTCGATGTCATTAGTCCTCAGAAAAATCCAAAGTAAAGCTACCACAGAATATCATGACACAATCACCAGAATGAATAAAATGAAAAAAAATCTGGTAATACCAAGTGTTTGCAGAAACAAACAAACAAAAGGAATGCTAAGCAATGCTGATGTAAATGTAAACTGGTACAATCACCTTGGAAAATTGTGTCAGAGATAAACATCTACACAATTTACGACTATCAGTTCCACTCTTAGGTATATAGCCAACAGAAATACGTATATGTATGCACCAAAAATATGTACCCAATGTTCTTAAGCATAATTCTTAATATACAAAACTAAAATCAACACTAAGTTGAATCAAAACTATTTTGTGTAGGGCCAGCCCCATGGCTTAGCTGTTAAGTGCGTGAGCTCCGCTACTGGCAGCCCGGGTTTGGATCCCGGGCGCGCACTGATGCACCTCTTCTCCGGCCATGTTGAGGCTGTGTCCCACGTACAGCAACTAGAAGGATGTGCAACTATGATATACAACTATCTACTGGGGCTTTGGGGAAAAAAAAATGAGGAGGATTGGCAATAGATGTTAGCTCAGACCCGGTCTTCCTCAGCAAAAAAAACAGGAGGATTAGCATGGATGTTAGCTCAGGGCTGATCTTCCTCACAAAAAAAAAACCAAAAAACTGTGATGTGTAGATTTAAAAAAAATATTTTGTATAAATTAATGTGGTATACAATGAAATGGAATATTATACTGCTATTAACATGAAGGAGCTACTGCCACACATAACAATGGATAAATTTTATATAAATAACATCGAATAAGAGTAGCCAGACACAAAATACAACACAACGTGGAATCCCATAAATAGAATCTATGAAAAATTAATTTCTGGTGAAATAAGTTAGACTAGTGGTTATCTGAGAGGAGGTAGAACTTGAGGAAACAAGAGGGAGTGCTCTCAGGTGCTAGTGATATTCCTTCCCTTAACCTGGATGATGGGTACTTTGTGATAATCCATTTTGGTGTGTGTGCTTTTCTATAAGTACGTCTGTTGCTAAATGTATACTACACTTAAAGACATGTGCTTCTTCTCCAGGGTCTTACCTACCTGCTTCTTTTTCCCTACGGATGGGGCCTCACCAATGCAGAATCACCTCTTTGCTTCTGGACTTGAATGTAATTCCATACCAAGACATAGGACTTGTTTTCCTCAGAAGCTGTGGAATGGCTGGAGAATGCTACTGTGGAATGCGTGGTTTTGGCTCCTACTGGGGTGACATTTGAAAAATGGGAAGTAGGAGATGGGAGAGAACTTACAGATTAATTCCTGATTCATTTTCTTCTCTGTATATTATTCAGAGGTGCAATTCTTCTGTGCAGCCTGTGTTAATTACATAATCCTCTGAAATGATTCAGAGGACTCAGTTTATACTAACAGAACAGCTTTATTACAGACAAAGGACAGAGTACAGCAACAGAAGGAGAAGGATATGCATTAAAAGAGATGCTGAGCTCTCAGGAGCAAATTTATTTGTCTTCTGTCTGCTTAGTAGCACAGGATATGCTTTATCTCCATGTCTTAAACAATTAATGGAGGGCGTGCAAAGCACCTTAGTACCAGGAAGTTCAAAACTTTTTTGTGCTTCTATTACAATAAGCTATAGTCATGCAGGCATATTTTAGCTACATGACCAGTCTTAACCAATGAAAACTGCTCCCACTTCATTCTCCCACTCCTAGATTTCACTGAAACCTGGTGCAAACCGTATGCAATTATTACTAAATCATCCTGACAGGCCGATATATTCTGCCCAAAGCAACTCACAGACATGTGGTTACAGAATACCATTTATCTTTAGTTACTAAATACCATAGTGTTGATCAAGGGCTAGTAAGTCTGGAAACAGGCATAAGTCAATCCAGACCAGCTGAGATTAACCAGTGTTATGCATAGCCTGGAGAAACCTTGTGTGCTGATAAAGCATACCTGCTGAATATCCTTCATTTGTAGTGAAATGGCCCTTGCACTGCTTTGCATCTTTCCTTACCTCCATTTACTTAGGGTGCATACATACACTTAATTTATAATTTCTTCCAAGCGAATTTCAATAAACAATCAATCCAAATAGAAGTTGAAGTTGTATAAATCTGCAAATATTTATATATACACAAAGTAAACTACAAAATATTGTGACAAAGTTGATGTTAAATTTAATGAAATACTTCAATATGACATGTATTTTCTCTCTTTAACAACCATCAACTGGATTTAAATGTCCAATCTTTTGTGAGAACCAATCTGAAATCCAATCTAAGTATACTACAAAAATATTAAATCTTCTGTACAAATGAGTA